TTGTGGTTGGGCCAGATGACCCTTGAGTTGTCGTGTCAGCTGTAGTCAAGGACGCAGTGGTCTCGGTTGGGCCTTGAGTAGTTGTGCCAGTGAAGAGTGCTGTGATTGAGTTGTGGCGGTTCCTGTTGCAGGAGTTGTAGATGCCTGGCTTGTGATTGGAGACGTGGTCTCTTTGGTTGTGCTTTGAGTTGCACTCTGAGTTGAAGTGAAGCTTGTGACTGTTGTTGGCACCGCTGTACTTCCAGTCCCAGCTTGAGTTGTAGCTCCCGGGGTAGTTGATTGAGTTGTAACTCCAGGAGTCGTTTCTCTTGTGGTGGAGAGTGGCGTTGGTCCTGTTGTGGTTGGACCAGCAGTCGCTGTTGTTTGCTGGGAGGTAGTTGCTTGAGATGCGGTAGGACTTGTGGCCGATGTACTGACGGTTGTGGTTGGGCCAGATGACCCTTGAGTTGTTGTGTCAGCTGTAGTCAAGGACGCAGTGGTCTCGGTTGGGCCTTGAGTAGTTGTGCCAGTGAAGAGTGCTGTGGATTGAGTTGTGGCGGTTCCTGTTGCAGGAGTTGTAGATGCCTGGCTTGTGATTGGAGACGTGGTCTCTTTGGTTGTGCTTTGAGTTGCATTCTGAGTTGAAGTGAAGCTTGTGACTGTTGTTGGCACCGCTGTACTTCCAGTCCCAGCTTGAGTTGTAGCTCCCGGGGTAGTTGATTGAGTTGTACCTCCAGGAGTCGTTTCTCTTGTGGTGGAGAGTGGCGTTGGTCCTGTTGTGGTTAGACCAGCAGTCGCTGTTGTTTGCTGGGAGGTAGTTGCTTGAGATGCGGTAGGACTTGTGGCCGATGTACTGACGGTTGTGGTTGGGCCAGATGACCCTTGAGTTGTCGTGTCAGCTGTAGTCAAGGACGCAGTGGTCTCGGTTGGGCCTTGAGTAGTTGTGCCAGTGAAGAGTGCTGTGGATTGAGTTGTGGCGGTTCCTGTTGCAGGAGTTGTAGATGCCTGGCTTGTGATTGGAGACGTGGTCTCTTTGGTTGTGCTTTGAGTTGCACTCTGAGTTGAGGTGAAGCTTGTGACTGTTGTTGGCACCGCTGTACTTCCAGTCCCAGCTTGAGTTGTAGCTCCCGGGGTAGTTGATTGAGTTGTACCTCTAGGAGTCGTTTCTCTTGTGGTGGAGAGTGGCGTTGGTCCTGTTGTGGTTGGACCAGCAGTCGCTGTTGTTTGCTGGGAGGTAGTTGCTTGAGATGCGGTAGGACTTGTGGCCGATGTACTGACGGTTGTGGTTGGGCCAGATGACCCTTGAGTTGTCGTGTCAGCTGTAGTCAAGGACGCAGTGGTCTCGGTTGGGCCTTGAGTAGTTGTGCCAGTGAAGAGTGCTGTGGATTGAGTTGTGGCGGTTCCTGTTGCAGGAGTTGTAGATGCCTGGCTTGTGATTGGAGACGTGGTCTCTTTGGTTGTGCTTTGAGTTGCACTCTGAGTTGAAGTGAAGCTCGTGACTGTTGTTGGCACCGCTGTACTTCCAGTCCCAGCTTGAGTTGTAGCTCCCGGGGTAGTTGATTGAGTTGTAACTCCAGGAGTCGTTTCTCTTGTGGTGGAGAGTGGCGTTGGTCCTGTTGTGGTTGGACCAGCAGTCGCTGTTGTTTGCTGGGAG